ATGGCAAAATTTTCGTAAAACAGGCAATCGTCCAGATAGGAATCATTCATGTGGGTTGACATTGGGAGGGCCAGGTGTGTAGAACTATGCTGGAATGGGCCAGGTGTATAAAACTAGGCTGGTAGAGCCTAGGCTAGGAGGGCTAGGGTGAGGGAACCACATATGCTGTTATAATATTATAGAAGGGTCGGGTGTGTAGGATTAGGCCAGGGATGGCCAATTTAAACCAATGGTTTAAACCAAACATAAAAAACATTTTTTTAAAGTTTTGTGTTGGTTTATATTATTTCCAGATTGTTTTAACAATTTATCTTATGATTTCCATCTCCACTGATACTAAAAGGATTGTCACTATTAAATTTTAAAATTGAATTTGAAGCCACGACCAAGCATATGGAACTTTATATTTTTTGACCTTATAAAAATATTAATTACTGTATTATTATTTTTTTTTTTGCACATTCTGTATGTATGATTGTGTGTGCATGTAACCGAGTAAAAAATATTGAACAAAATTACAGTGCAGTATTTAGTATCTACCCAAAATTATGAGTGAGCAGGATGTGGCTACAGTTTCTTGTCTAACTTGCCAACAATACCATTAGTGACGTAAACAGACTCAAACAAAGGGAAAATTAAATTATCTAAGCAGTATCTTCATTTGTATCAGGTTTTGTAGCATAGCTATATAGTGAATGAGGTTCTGGTCTTCAAGCAGCAACATAAAGAAAGAATCTAGGTGTATAGTAAGCAAACCCAGGATAAAGAAGCTTACTGGCAAGGTCAGTCTACCGTGAGTATTCACTGGGTAGCTGTCATTCATTGTAAATGACTCATGGAAGTGCATGAACTTTAACCCAGAAAATATATTATGTGTTTAAAATTTGACCCCCTACTTTTTGCATAGAAATTTAATCATAAAAACTCAAACTAAACCTAGATTTTACCAAGGCTTTCGGCAGTGTACTCCACATAAGGCTGAAAATCAAACTGGAAGGGTACGGAGTTCGGGGAAATGTCCTAGCATGGATAGAAGACTTTCTACATGACCACAAGCAGTGTGTGGTGATTAATGGCACGAAATCATCATCTTTTTACAAGAGGGGTACCACAGGGACAGTGTATTGGGCTCGCTGTTGTTTGTTTGTTTCATATATGACATGACTGACTTTGCATACTCCTCCATACAAATGTTTGCGGATGACGCCAAGTTATTTTTGGAAATCAAGAACCAAGCGGACTGTGAAGAGCTGCAGAAGGATCTCTGTGAGTTCCAAGAATGGTCGAAGAAATAGGTTGCTGAGATTCAATGTCACAAAGTGTAAGAGGATGCACCTGGGTGCATCAACGTAAAGGGAGGTATCATATGTCCAACGGGATGAAGAAACTGCACTATTTGAGACTGTGTGTGAGAAGGACTTAGGTGTGTATGTTGACAATGAGCTGAAGTTCTCGGCCATTAGGAAAGAAGGTAAATTGGGCAACTAAATTATTAGGTTCTGTAAGAAGGTCATTCAGATATCTAGACGGTCTGTCCTCGGAACGATCTTCAAGAGTGAAGTGCTTCCCCATCTGGAGTACTGTACTGTCACCCCTGCCTGGTCCCCGAGATATGCTAGGGACTGGTTTGCTGATATTTTCAAAGGAGGGTCACCAGACTGGTGCTTGCGCTATGCTTCTCACAGCTACCCTGAGATTGGAGCACCTAAACTTGCCTAGCTTATACTACAGACGGCAGCAATGCAATTGAGGTGTATAAGCATCTCAAGGGCACTACTCAGGCGGTGTCCTACTATTGGCGGATGCTCGCCCCACAAGGGGTCACAGCTCAAGATTGAAGAAGCCGCAAGTCCAGAAATCTGTGAGGGCAAACTTTTTCGGAGTGAGAGTTGTGAACTCTTGGAACAATTTACCAGAAAGTGTTGTGACGGCACCGAGTGTGAGCTCTTTCAGGAACAGACTTGACCAACACCGGAGCAGGTTCAGGTACATTCAGGAGCCGGTGCATGCCCAGTACCTGCCAACAGTGCGTAGCAGAGATGCGAATCGATCGCCTAATTGGCTAACGAGCCGATCAGTGGTGACGAGGATAAAAGTAAACAAAGTAGATGCTATAAATATTTGTTACTACATCATAAATGTTTATGATTGTCATATTGAAAGGTTATAAAAATGGTTAAAAATCATATTAAAACCAACATAATAGTATTAAAGCCCCCAAATATTTTGGTTTTTATAACTAATTTTATTTTATTTTTGTTCAAAATGATTTTTTCCTCTCCCTGGATTAGACTGATTGGACCAGGTGTATAATGATATTTTAGGAGAACCAGATATGCATGACTGTACCAGGCTGGGAGGGCCAGTTGTGTAATGCTTTTCTTGGGAGGACCATGGGTATGTGGGTATAGGCTGATGTGCCCCACGTATGTAGGGCTTAGCTTTATGGACCAGGTGTAGGGTAAGGCTATTCATGCCAGGTGTGTAATGCCAGGGAGGGGGTACTGGGTTTACAAAGCTTTGCTGGGAGAACCAAATGTGTTGGACTAGTCTGGGAGGATCAAATGTGTAAGGTTACTATAGTAGTCAGAGAACAAGTCTGGGAAGACCAGGTGTGTAGGACTAACCTTGGAGGTCCATTTGTGTAGGACTAGGCTGGGATGGCCAGGTGTTAGACTAGGATGAGACAGCCAGGTGTGTGGGGGTTAGGGAGGGCCAGGTGTGTTGGACTAGGCTAGGTGGGACAAGTGTGTAGGGGCCTAGGAAGAGTGCTGAAATACCAGTATTTAATATTTGTGATTTTTTTTCCTAATAAAAACTGAAAATTTTAAGGATTTTTGTTTACATATACAGTAAGCATGGCACAAAACTGTACTGTACAGTACTTTTGGACAACAGGTACCCGGGTTAAAGATTTTTCAACCCTCATAAGTTAATGCAGTTTTCTAAACTATGTCCCCCCTCCCCTGGGGTGCTACCTTTTGGTCGAAGAGTTGCTAATTCTTTCACACTTTGGCCTCTCTCGGGATATTATGGTGGAGCTGTTTGATTTCCAGAAGATGTAGGATCCATTTTAGAGGATGTTGTTGAGCAAAGGTGACTCGGCTTCTGCTCAGTTCCAGTGGCTAATCCTTACCTCAAGAATAAAGCAAGGAAGGCTTTATTAAGGCCTCAGCCTTTCAGGAGCACTGCTGATAGCTTGCTCTTTTTAGAGCAATATTTTTTTTGGCATCTTTAGAGAGTGTTATAGCTGCAGGTAATGAGGGTAGCCTTTGGCTCTATATTATAATCCAGTGGCTAATCCCTGTTCCAAAGGAGAGGCAGGCATTGTCTGTTGCTCAGATCCTTGGAGAGACTTTCGTTCTTAGTTTTTCACTGCACTAGATAAATCTGATGAAATATTAGGGTTGTCAAGAATCCTCATCATCTTTATAGTTTTATGGCCATTTTTCCACAGTTGTACGGGTTCTTGAGAAATGATCTCTTAGGCTTGGAAATGGTTAGGGATCCTTTCCTTATGTCCAGGAAAGCAGTTCACATTTATATTTATGTAGGAGTACCTGGGCTTTTCAGCATATCAAAAGTCATTAGGCTTGTTCAGCTGGGTTGCATTCATCACATGCATCCTCTTTGGGGATGAAATTTTTCTTGTCCTTTCTAAGAGGCTTGTCTCCAGGGAGTTAATCCACCAGGGAAGGAGTTAGGTATTAGAGATATGTCCCTTTTTGGATAACTGAATGATGATCCCTTGTTGATGGCCTGTGTAGCACCTGGAAGCCTAGGGTGCTTTTTACATTGGTTCTTGGAGATGAGGCACACCATTGCCTGAGGTTCTTGCTTCCTTCTTCCCATTGGTGCTCAGTGGCTTAACTGTACATGAGTTGCCATACCCAGTGTCAGCTATAATGAGGGATTAATTCTGTTATCCCATTTCATAATGAACCTAGATTGGGCAGTTCTGATGCCTCCTTTCTCCATTAGGATGCTTAGGAGCTTGGAATTGAAGGCTGATTGTGCTTGAGATTTCTTTTAAAGCTTTTCTGAGTTGTGGGGCTAGTGTGTGATGGCATGGCAATGTAGACTTACAGCTCTTGCCTTCGGGCATCTGGTTCATTAGTGCTTCCTTGTACGGTACTTATGAGCTGCTGTTGAATTAGGTGAGAACCTACCTCTAGTTTTCTAGTTTTTCATGGATTTCTGGAGTATAGCCCTGTAAGTTGTCATGGGGCTATAAGTCTACAAGCTTGTCACATTAGAACTGTACAAAAGTCACACGACCCATGCTTATTATAAGATGAAATTTCAGGATCAATTCCTCATTTCTAATTGAGCTTAGGAATTGAGGTAGATCTAGCTATTCTGTTATTTCAATCAAATAATAATAAAAGTTGAAGGAGTGTACATGTGTTTAGTGGTGGTGAAGACTCCAAAGATTTCCCCTACTTCAGAGTACTGTACCTTTATACTTAGTGTCTCCTATTTTGGAAGTCATTGTTAAGGCCAAATACCTGTAATTCAATTCTTAGATTCCCAGTTTGGGTAGCAGATAAAATAACTTGTTTTTGCACCCATCGAATTGCTAACCATGCAGAGTCACCCTCTCTCTTTGCAGTTAGAAAACAGGATCTCAGGATCAATCCTTCATTTCTGGTTAGGAGAGTTGTAGGAGTCTAGAGGGTTATAATAACGGGAAAGGGAAAGAATGGGAGGCACTACCAAATTTTGGGAACTGTTTTAATAGTATTTTCAGAGATAAGTGTTTACTTCTTTTTCATGTTACATTATGTACAGTTGCTCAAAAAGCTATCTCTGCTGAAGGGTCCAATTAATTTCAAAATGAACACCGCGACTCCTGTTGTCTCAGTAGGGTTGTCAAAATCCTTCGTCCATTGTGTCATATTATGATTAGCTCAGTTTTGTAAAGATATTTTTTGGGCAACTGTACATCTATAGATTTAATATCACTTGTTAAGTGCTGTTGTGTATTTCAGTTCTAATAGGAGAATCCAGATTGCGGGGCGACCCAATACCATCTCAGGCTGACGGCGAAACGACCCAAAATTGAGTTGCCTTTTGCTTTTGAGCCCCGACAACAACCCGACCCTCCAGAATTAGATGCACATGTAAAGGAAATCACTAGAAAAAATGGTATCTTAACTATAGAAAGCAAGGTATGAAATCAAACAAACATTTTCTTTGCAGTTGTACTTCCATACTCCAAAAGACTTCTATCTCCTCTACACACTGTGCTGCATTTGTTTGCTCTACCATTTTGGATTTCATAGATTCTTTAGTGTGATGTTTATAATTGGCAATGTTCAAGAGTGCAGTATAAATCATGTATTGTATAATTATCCAGTGATATACAGCAACATTAGGCACCCTGGTATGTGCACAGTGCCCAGTGTTCATAAGTCATCACACTAGTGTTGACTGGGTACATTCATAGTGGTAAGAACAGGGTTTAAATTCAAGTGACTCACATTGGCCTCTAAAGGTTTTTGGAAGTGTGGGTCACTAAGGCCAACTATTTGAATATTGAGAGGCACTGATGCAACTGAGTTATGACAGTCACAGCAATAAAGTCTAGAAGCTTTTAAAAGAATTACCGGAATGCCAGTTGCAGGCCAAATTCTCCAATCTGAATCATATTATTAAAATGGGAAATATATCAGATATTGGGAGTTGCTTCATTAATTGACATTTTTACTCCATTAGGCTTGTTAATATTCTAATACATTATTTGCTTTTTCTAATTAGAATGGAAGGGAAAAAGTCTTTATAAAACATGCTTCATCACTACAGTACAGGCTTTTACACAACACTTACCCAGGTCAGGTGTGGTGGTGAGGTTAATTTGGGCAACACATCAAGTTCTTAGAGACAGGATACTTGGAACCTTGAGTGGCAATAAAGTTTGTGACTAATGTATCATTTCCACACTTAGATAAACAGAACATTGATTGGTTATTTTGCTTAAAGATTTGCACTTGGAGGAACAATCAGAATTAAGCTTTTGTTATCCATTTATCACCTTTTAGTCAAGCTATAGTAACACTGGGGAGACATAGTACAGGATTTTATGTCCCAGGAATTGACCTCCCATAATGTCAACTAGGGTTAAGCTATTAATCCTTCACTTCACCTTACACTCTTGGCCTTGTATGAGGGGGGACTTGGTGCAGAGGCTACCTCAAAGGGCTGAAGATCTTATCAGAGCTATGGCTGTCTGATCACCTTTGTCAAGTATACTGTCCACCACCTTTGAGTCCAGTAAATTTTCCAATTTCTATTTAGTTCTTGGCTTACAGTTTGAGTGGATGGTCATAGCTAGTCACCTTGCTCTTGCTTGAGGAAATGAGTTTCTTACTTTAATACTGTAATTATAAATCACTATACTGTACTGTACTTATCTTCACCAAATCAGAGCTAATTTGTATAGTGTTTATAATATTTTGTTTGGAAATGTGCTTTTATTATTGTGAGAACACACCAACATGTTTGGGGAAATGGAATCTATACTGTACAGTTAAAGGATATTGAATAGTACCAATATAGTACAGTATTGCATAAATTGAGTTGCATGAAGACTATAAGTAGTGGAAATGTAATTGGTATAAATGATAAATAGAATTGTTCAAACTGGCAAGTTATAAATGTGAAATCCCAACTACTGAGTACTGTAGGGTCGGCATGTATGAATGAGGTCCAAGGATGTTAGCTATATACTAAATCGCGATATATAATTACATGTAATCAATGGGAAAAAATAGTGTTAGGGTCTGGAGACCAAAAAAGTGACTAAACTTGACTTAACAAGTTCATTTTTTTACTAACTAAACCACCAATGAACGCTAGACTCGGGAACAACAGGCTACCGGTATTTCAGTATCAATATCAAGGAACACCAGCCTCAGGAACACTAGAATCTGCAGCCGACGCGCCATCCTGGGAACACCAGACTCGGCAGCAGACGCCATACTGCCACCCTTACTTGACAATCCCACACTTACATAAACGAACACCAAAAATATTAGTTACAGTATTAAATCTTTTCCATTAAGCTTTCCATTCTCTTCACTTCACTTTTCACATCACTAGCAACCACACACTCACCTTAGAAGTCGTAATCTGCAGCAGAGTCGGCTGCTTTCTCGTCACTCAGAAAGACTGAGCGGGCGAGCGTGAATGCGTGAGTGAGCAGCCACAGTGGCGCCTCTGGTGATCAAATTAACACATTTGTTTGCCATGGCGGTACATTTGAAATATTTCCTGCCTGATTTCCCTCGTGAATAAAATAATTTATCGCTATACAGTATATAGGAAAAGTTTGATAATTTTGGTCACCGCAATATAAAAAAATCGATATATAAAGTCGCGATATATCCCGACCATACTGTACTGTATTATGAATGAAGCATGGAATGAAGGAAAATTACCAACTGACTTGGGAAATCAGACAACATATTCAATTATTTAAAACAGACAACTCAGGGAAATGTGAGAACTTCAGGGAATTTTTGAAAAGATTATGTCCAAGATATACAACAGAATAGTAGAGAAGAGGCACAGCTATTTCCCAGTTTACAAAGGGTTCTGTTTCTGAAAGACCTTTCATAAATCAATTTGTTGCAAATTGGATCATATTTTACCATAGACTCCCATTATAAAGGCCGAGATATATTCCTACTGACCCTTACTGTAACACTCATGACTCACTACTGACCCTTACTGTAACACTCATGACACACTATTGACCCTTACTGTAACACTCATGACACACTACTGACCCTTACTGTAACACTCATGACACACTACTGCCCTTACTGTAACACTCATGACACACTACTGACCCTTACTGTAACACTCATGACACACCTAATGACCCTTACTGTAACACTCTTGACACACTACAGCCCTTACTGTAACACTCATGACACACTGACCCCTTACTGTAACACTCATGACACACTACTGACCCTTACTGTAACACTCATGAACTTCTGACCCTTACTGTAACACTCATGACACACTACTAACCTACTGTAACACTCATGACACACTACAGCCCTTACTGTAACACTCATGACACTACTGACCCTTACTGTAACACTCATGACCCACTACTGACCCTTACTGTAACACTCATGACCCTACTGACCTTACTGTAACACTCATGACACACTACTGACCTTACTGTAACACTCATGACACACTACTGACCCTTACTGTAACACTCATGACACACTACTAACCCTTACTGTAACACTCATGACACACTACTGACCCTTACTGTAACACTCATGACACACTACTAACCCTTACTGTAACACTCATGACACACTACTAACCCTTACTGTAACACTCATGACACACTACTGACCCTTACTGTAACACTCATGACACACTACTGACCCTTACTGTAACACTCATGACACACTACTGACCCTTACTGTAACACTCATGACACACTACTGACCCTTACTGTAACACTCATGACACACTACTGACCCTTACTGTAACACTCATGACACACTACTGACCCTTACTGTAACACTCATGACACACTACTGACCCTTACTGTAACACTCATGACACACTACTGACCCTTACTGTAACACTCATGACACACTACTAACCCTTACTGTAACACTCATGACACACTACTGACCCTTACTGTAACACTCATGACACACTACTAACCCTTACTGTAACACTCATGACACACTACTAACCCTTACTGTAACACTCATGACACACTACTGACCCTTACTGTAACACTCATGACACACTACTGACCCTTACTGTAACACTCATGACACACTACTGACCCTTACTGTAACACTCATGACACACTACTGACCCTACTGTAACACCATGACACTACTAACCCTTACTGTAACACTCATGACACACTACTGACCCTTACTGTAACACTCATGACACACTACTGACCCTTACTGTAACACTCATGACACACTACTGACCCTTACTGTAACACTATGACACACTACTGACCCTTACTGTAACACTCATGACACACTGACCCCTAACCTATGACACACTACTAACCCTTACTGTAACACTCATGACACACTACTGACCCCTTACTGTAACACTCATGACACACTACTAACCCTTACTGTAACACTCATGACACACTACTAACCCTTACTGTAACACTCATGACACACTACTGACCCTACTGTAACACTCATGACACACTACTGACCCCTACTGTAACACTATGTACACCACTCACGACACACTACTGACCCCTTACTGTAACACCTACATACACTACTGACCCTTACTGTAACACTCATGACACACTACTGACCCTTACTGTAACACTCATGACACACTACTAACCCTTACTGTAACACTCATGACACACTACTGACCCTTACTGTAACACTCATGACACACTACTGACCCTTACTGTAACACTCATGACCCAATACTGACCCTTACTGTAACACTCATGACACACTACTGACCCTTACTGTAACACTCATGACACACTACTGACCCTTACTGTAACACTCATGACACACTACTGACCCTTACTGTAACACTCATTACCCACTACTGACCCTTACTGTAACACTCATGACACACTACTGACCCTTACTGTAACATTTGTAACACACTTTAGATTACAGATTTAGGTTGATCCATAATCAATGAATAGATCTTTGTATAGGGTGTAATATTTTGTCGTGGAATAGCAACCTTAATATGTGTAGACTAGAATAATATCTGGTGCTTAAATGTCAGATTCATTTTGAAGCTAACTCATTACAAATTATGGCTTGATGGCCTAGGAAGAACCTTTGAACATAATGCAACATCACTTTATTCTTAGATTTTAATTTTGTTATTATGAAATCCTTAGATCGTGACTGAACTAAGTTTTATTGTAAATAAATGTTTCTCCTTTTTCCCCACTTCTGCCTTTTACACTTGTAACTTGACTTTGAATGATGAAACAAATTTTGATTGTGGTAATATTATTGACATATTTTGAATTTACTGACAAACATTAATATCCTGTTTCATATATCTCTTATCTTAATTTCAGAAATATAAAAGTTCCATAGAAGATATGGAATACATATCAGAATTAGGCAATGGTACTTCTGGCAATGTTGTCAAAATGCTTCACAAATCTTCCAAAAAAGTTATCGCTGTTAAGGTCAGTTTCTTGTACTTGGTAATACTAGTACAGTATTAGAGGGTTTACATTGTTTTGACCAATTTTTTTTCCAAGATGTTCTTTGCTTTTGAATGTATTCTTTGAACCTGTAGAATTTTCAAATATTATTGTTCTTTATGGCTCTGAGTCTATATAAAGAGACTTGTGAGATTCCCTCCTTAAGCACCCTGCCATAACTATGGGGTTATCTGTATCCTGAGGAGGCAGGGACACTGTCTTATATAGATTATTGAAAGGCTACATAAACAGCTGCTTGCCATGTGTACCAGTGATTAGGAAGGGTTGAACTTCAACAATGAAATGTCTGTCCTTGAAAAGCATGCAAGTCAAACAGTTACTGGAATTACGCCTTTGTTTTATTTCATATGGACCACCTAGCCATAAACTTGGATCTCTGAATATCTACCTTCATATTTTCCTGTCACTCACGGTCATGTCTTAATTGTCATATCCTGGAAAGCAATGCTTAATCCTCAACACAAGTTTTTATCTTAATATATTTTTTGAATGACAAGAGCAGTAACCCAGACTGTGTGGCTCTGGGGGATAACTACTGTTATATAGTTTGAGCCCTCATTTTTTGGTAAACATCCTGAGTTTTTCATATACAGGTATCTCTGGTATAATTTGACCCTAGCTTCTGAGAAATACTTGGCATAATCCTAGACATAATTTGTAGCAAGACACCAGATTCACATCGTGTCTTGGCCATGATGACCACCACAACAGCTGACACTATGAACAATGTTACCAACTCTAAAACTGAGTTCCTGTCAGTTACCAACTCCTATAAGGAATAAGATAAAATAATATATATCAATAAATGTGAAGAATAAATAAAAATGATACCAGTAAACAACAAAAAAGAAGAAATGCTGTACAGATTTGCCATTTGGCTGGTGGATGACAAAATTTGTCAGTCGTTTCACTACACACAGGAGACAGCTCAGAACAGTTGAGATCCCTCACTCCCCTCTTACCAGTCATTGTGAACTATTAACACATGAAGAAAGTTTATTCCCTTTTATTTTTTTACCTTATGATAATTATTTTATATTTTTGCACATTTTATATGTAAGATTGAGTGTGCATGTAACATAAAAAGAAAAAAAAAGAAAAAATTGTGTGCATCTGCCTGAAATTACGAATTGTAAAATAAATGTAACACCTCACAGCTTGGTCTGGTAGTAAGACTTGGCAGATGTGGCTAGTGATAAGTATAACTTGGCAACAATGCTGCCAGCGATGTTAACAGATGTAAATGAAAAGAAAATTATCTGTAATCTTAATTTTTATCAGGTGTTTGTAGATTTGAAGTGGCATATTTAGTGAATGAGGTTCTGGTCTTCAAGCAGCAACATAAAGAAAGAATCTAGGTGTATAGTAAGCAAACCCAGGATAAAGAAGCTTACTGGCAAGGTCAGCCTACCGTGAGTATTTACTGGGTAGCTGTCATTCACTGTAAATGACTCACGAAAATGCATGAATTTTAACCCCTCAAAACTATTATGCATATGTAGTTCGACCCCCTACTCTTTGCATACAAAAATGTATTATAAAAACTCAAGCTGTACAAAAGTATTTACAGTAATAGACCCACTATATCTAAGATAGTCTTTCCAAATGGAATGCTATGGTTTAATTCCTTTGCATATTACCTCCTCCGTCCCTTTTCTAGCTGGTATGGAATTTCTCGGATCACTTGATGATGAATTGTTGACCATAAAATACAAGTTTGAAGTGTGAATACCCTTTTATCGAGAGGTCCAAGGATATTTCGTAAACCCGGTTTGTCTGTCTTTGTAGCTGTTTATGTAGCTATTCTCAGATCTAAATGGTGAGTGTAACATGCCATGCACATACTGTTGTCTCTGTACAAAGGTAGGGTCTCGGAGGATGTTCTAGCATGTCTCTTGATGATGACCATTGGCCACTAAATGGGATTTCATACTCTAGTCCTTCATATTTAAAAGCTGAATATATTACCTGTACCCATAACTGATAACCCATTTTTATAACATAAAATACTAAATGCATGTGAAGAACAGTTCTACGTAGGGAAAGAAATGTGAGTGTAGAGTTTGTTATTGTTACTCAGAGAAACTTTCTTTTACTCTGTATATGCAGTCTCTTCTCGACTTACGACATATTCGATTTTTGACAACTCGGACATACGACGGCCATGGTCGTATAAAATATTTTTCAAATTACTGTACGTGTTTCCAAGCCCCGACGTTAGTGATTGCGCTGTGAGAGTTCTCGTTGTGCTGAGAAGAAAAAGAGACACCCATTTTAGAAATTCTATGTATTATTTTTGCCTTTTCGACTTACGACCAATTCAACTTACGATCTGGTCGTCAGGATGGAACCCCGTCTTAAGCCGAGGAGAGACTGTATATATCATTGTTACTGGAATGCACATCACAAGTAATGTCTTGACTTCCAAATTGTTTACACAGGTTGTTGAAATTATTAGAATTAATTTATTGTTACTTGATGTATACTGAAAGTTTGTCACTGTGTTATGGGAAGACTTTGGGCCAGCACTTTATTCATTGATAAATGGTTCAACCCTTTCACTCTGAAGCTTGGATCTATTTTTGAGTCCTCCTAGCTTATGCTTTAGAAAAAATCTTAGAAATTAATTACACCTAATGTTAAAAGCCATAAAGTATCAAGAAATAAAACATTTAATCTTTATTGGCAACCGGGTCACCATGCTATTAGATAATCATGGCTAACCCATGCAAGCATAGAAAATGGCTGTATTTCAAAAATTTTTGCATCATTAGAAAGCTGAATCTTGTTTCTGCAAATTTATATATAGTCAATAAATACAAGAAATATAATTTATTGGAGAAATCACGAGTTGAACTGGGAGTTCCTGTTCATGGTTTTCAGGCTCTGGGACGAGCCGCCAGAATCGTCATAGTAATCAGACTACAATACAGTACATCCATGAACGTACCCAAGTAATGGCATGAAAAACTTCAACATCATGTAATGTCCACTGTCCTTTAAGGGTTAATAGACTCAAGTTAAACTTCATTATGATAATTATCATCATATTTCTCTATATCACTATACTGTACTTTCCATCAAAATTGCATTTTATCCTTTTGTTGCCATACATTTATATATACATTTGTGTACCAGACACTTGGGTACAGTATTACTAGCAGATGTATTTTGCCATAAACATCCTTTGACCCTGGTTGTTGTAGGGTGATTGAACAGCTTTGAAGTTTTTGTGGATGAAATATTACTGGTTTTTACATGTCATAATCCTATGACCTATGGCTGCTCAAGGATATTTGAAATGGGGCAGTACTGTATCTCATTAGTCAGTAGAATTTAGATCCCAAGTGTACAAGGTACTGCCATAGGACTGATAGGGTTAATAGATGTTGTCATTTAGTTTAACCATCAAATTTGTTCTTTTGAAATTTATAAAAAATATATTTTTAATATTATAAAAAAATAAATTGTGGGCTAAACCTGTTAATATTAGCACCTGTAGGAGATTGATAACTGGGGCTATAATTGTTCTTTCCAATTCACCATATACTGTGCCTGTACAGTATTGGTATAGTACTAAAGAGTCTTATCAGATGGGAATAGTAAATAATGGAAATGTTCAGGAGTAATTGTTTATATAAGGTTTGAAATAGGTAACCTTTATATGAATTATAGTTAATGCAGTTTAAATTTTCTTCCAAAACAGCAAATGCGGCGCTCAGGTAACATGGAGGAGACAAAACGTGTTTTCTTCGACCTGGAGGTTGTATTAAAATCCCATGATTGTCCATATATCGTACAGTGTTTAGGCTGCTTCATCACAGACTCAGATGTTTGGATCTGTATGGAGCTCATGGCCACCTGCCTTGACAAACTCACCAAACGATACAAACAGCCGATACCTGAACCTATCTTGGGAAAAATTTCTGTGGCTGTAAGTACTTCCAAGTGTGTAATAATAATAATAATGATAGTAATAATAATAATAATAATAATAATTATTAATGATTCATTGAAAAAGTTCAGCAGCCGGCTGAAAATATTCATTAGAGAAAGGAAAAGGAATATACAGTTAACATACTGATTAATGTTTACAGTGGAGATCACGTAGGTCATGTGCTCTGAGGTGTTGAACAGCAGACACATGGTGTAGTAATAACTCCCTCACAGATGGTGTTATGAGGAACCTCATGTGGTGCAGTACCTCCCTCACAGATGGTGTTATGATTGGCCACAAGTTGAAGCAGCATGGTGGACACCATGTGGCCTGGTGTCACAGGATATCACTCACTCAAGTGTTATACACTGTAAAAAATATCTTTCTGGAAGGCCGATGAATTTTGAACTGAACAATCCACATGCAGGGCTACCAATACCTTTATCAATCAAAAACCTTCATTCGTGGTGTTATTTTGTTTCATACAAGAATTGTAAAGACTTTTTTTAACAGAGTGTACAGTCAGGTGCAGAGGTCTGACCCTCAACCGGTCCCAGGCCTTCTATTGTGGACGGATTAACTCAACGCTGCTTGTTGTTGGGTCTCATGGGCAGTTATCACTGGGTACCTGGGACCTCACTGTGTGATGGTTAAATTGGTCACGACTCTCAGCTGTTACTGTTTAATCCTCTTGTGCATGATGACATGATTCGTGTCATATTCATGATAAGACCAACTGCAGTGATGCAAATCGAGTCGCCAAACCTTAAAAAAATTGCCCAAAATTAAGCTTTCAACGAATTGCATCAAATTTTGATGTGTCATAGTAGCAAGTAAGTTCTATCACATAAACTAATTGGCAACTCTCAAGACCCATAGAAAGGGAAGACTGGAACGATAAATGCGCAGTATTATCTTGGCTGTCAGACCGTGAGTGAGCCGTGTCCATTTAAATTTCCATAACTCCTTGCGGGCTGCCTCAACTCCTGGATTACAGTGCTTACCCTACTACCGGAAATAATTTATTTTTAGTGTTAGAAAAGTGAAGTGATGGTTGTGTAATGTAATATTTTGTTCATATTTACAGGGAATGTGTTTAGTTTTCAAAAGCCGTTACCGTATCAGGTTATACAACCTCGTTATAATGACTGTCTCAAAATAGTCTTTGAAAGAGGATGATTTTCTAGACTTACATGAATTTTATCAGTACCATTCTCTTAGTTATAGTGTTGGCTACAAGATACTGTACAATATAATTTATATCGATATAAAACATAGGCACAAAATAATAAATTACCATTTAAGAATCGGTTTTTTGCTATTTTCTCAAAAACTGTTGGTCTTATGAGAAACCTTATAGTACTTAAACAGTTGACTCAGACAATTTTGACCAGGAGGTTGTGAGCGTATTGGTATGTATTTTATCCTCATGTTTATTAGATGTGACGAAAAATAGCTATATACTTGTATTATTACATATGATTTTTTGCTTATGTTGGAGAGTTATCAGTTATGAAGCCATTAAAGCCAGTTACATAGGCCATTAAAAACAAGTTTTGTGGGAAAATTGATAAAGCAAAATAATATTTACCATGCTCTGTCTCGCCTGCCCTGGGGGCCTCAGAGATGTGATCTTGGAACTGGAAAACTTAAAACTTATCTCGTGCACGAGAGGGTTAACATTGTTTTCATTGACTTGTGCACTGTTCAGCACCGGTTCCACTCCTTTCCAAAATGAAATTGTAACTTCTGGTGAGAGCTTGTTGATATTCAGGTGGGGAGGGGGAGTTGGGGGTAGGGGCTAACAATCTATCCTAGGCAGCCCCAGAGCAGGCCGGCAAGTATGTCTTGATGCTCTGAGGGTATGTGTGTTTTAGCACATAGTAAGTTTGTTAGTTACTTACAGACAATACTAATTTATATTATATTTGCTGTGTCTGATCATAGAACTTTAAACTCGATGCATTAATTCTTGACACTTCACTGTTACGTAACTCATCTTAGAGGTGCTTTGTAAATTGAGGTACTACAGTACTTTAAATTAAGTTTATTTAAATGTTTTCCTTGTATTTCAGACTTTAAAAGCCCTTCATTACCTAAAAGAGTCTCATGGTGTGATTCACCGTGACGTGAAGCCTTCCAACATTCTTCTAGATGAGCGTGGAAATATTAAACTGTGTGACTTTGGGATCTCAGGGAGACTAGTCGATTCTAAGGCCAAGACTCGGAGTGCCGGCTGTGCTGCGTATATGGCGGTGAGTTTTCTGTGGACAAAACATATTATATTTGCTGCTGAGCTTGTTTGTTGACTTGTAATTTGTTGTAGGGAGAATTAATTATGTCCCACAGTATGATATTTTCTGATGCTTTTGCAGTGTTATGGTTGTAATCGCTCATAGGAGCGATTTTGGTTTGTGCAGGACAATAAGACCCTTTTCGTTGTCGCGATGAGTATAATTCGGTCAAAACCTGTTGAATACAATTCACATATAACAACTGCTGGTACATCAGGACACAGGTTGAATAATACGATCAATATACAGTACATAATTACACTTATTAAAGTTATTTAGAGTTCTCAGAGGATTCAACAGTTCACAATCACACTCATGTTTTGGGGTCTAGGGTTAGACCAACGAGAACAAACCTAATGTCCTGCGGGTGATATTGGCTGACGAGAATCCAGATGTTGCCTTTACAGTAGAAGGCGATAGACTGTCCCTCAGACAGTCACACAGCTGCTACCAGCTCCATCTCTCTTAGTAAGCTATTCTAAGTTGTAAACAGTTTCTTCACTTAACATGTGGCCGGCATGCACATTTAACACCTCAGCAAAGTTCGTTGTCTACACTTGTCTCTCTCTTCTCTCCCTTTCTCTCTCTCTATCCCTCTCTTTCTCTCTCTCTCTCTTCTAGTTTATCTTACTGTGGCGGTAACATATCCTACTGTGGCGGTAACAATGGTAATAAAAATACAGTAGAGTGCACCCAGTATAGGACAATAAGCTTAATAAGTCATGCCTGCAAAGTTTTATTAAACATAGTTTTAAGTAGAACAAAGTTTAAAAGAGAAAGTGAGCAATATGGATTCAGAAAGGGAAAAGGAACTAGAGAAGCTATACCTGTATTTGGTATGAGAATTTTGAGTAAAAGGGCTTTTGTGGTCCAATGAAATTTGTACATCTGCTTTGTTGATTTTGATTTTTTTTTGATAAGGTAATGCACAATAAACTTACAGAGATCTTGGAAAAAAAAGCATTATTGAAGGAGATATGAGAATTTCAAAGAATCTTTACTGGCAACAGAAGGCTGCAGTGTTAGTAAATAATGAACTTACTAATTGGTTCACAGTTAGGCAGGGAGTAAGACAAGGCTGTGTTTTACTGTATCGCCAACATTGTGTAATATATACAGGTAAACCTCGATAAACAATGGGGTTAGGTTCCTGAAAAACCCATCGGTAAGTGAAATATCATAGATAGGGAGCATTATAACATGGGGTTCAATGGAATACATTCCATTGTGCAGCGCGGCTGTGTTGTTTTGATGCGGGCTGGGCTGGCAGGACCGCATGTTCCTGCATTGCTCCACAACAATAACCTGCAGGATGTGCAAGATATTTGTTTCAAATTTTAGATAATTTTGTTCAAGATTCGTGGTTATTCGGACTCAGGTGGTCTGGTACTCTGGGTTTTTACCTTACAGCATATGAGAGACTATACTGTGTACTTTTTAAATAGCTTTGTAGCTTTGTTGTTGTAAGAAACATTCTTTGGGAATAGCCAGTTTCTAGGTAAGTAGTCTTAAGATACGGAATATATATACGTATATATACAGTGGTCCCTCGGTTAACGAACGCCTTGGTTAACGAAATTCTTACGAAAATGTTTCGACATGCTTTGGCTTGCTCACCAGCTGGAAGATTAGTCCGCCAATACAGAAATCGGTTCTAGGGCTTACATTCATTAAAATTGGAGTAAATATCAAGAAGGTTGTACTATTCAATAATTTCCAAGTTGTATATTAAAATTTTGAGTCATTTTAACACTTATTTAACATAATTGCAGTATACAGGAAACTAGTTTTTGGTGCGCCCAACAGCCACTTCACTCACCCACCAAGGCCTCAGTTTGTATCTCTGTTCAGTGGAGGAAACATCTTGCTTGTGGGTCTTTTGAACACAGAGTATTTTTACGTTTTTACAGTACAATTATTGGTTATTCTGAAATTTATTTAACATATTGACAATATATAGTGCAGTGCAGTGTTGATTTAAAGAAAATAATCTTGAATTACGCCTAGTGAACTTAAAATTTTATGGGTGAAATGACGGCATCAAAGCATGAGGTGATTTCTCTTCCACCCCCACTTCTTTCTCTTCTCCTCCACCCCCACTTCTAATTCCCATCATCATCTCATCATCAACCAGGAGCCTGCTACATACACACCTCAAAGTAAGTGTACTTTACTGCATTTATTTTTACTTTGTATGTAATTTTCGGTGAGCTTGAACCAATTACCCAAAGTCCCATTGAAACAATGGTTTTGGTTTACAAAATTTTCGGTTAACGAACGACCTTCTGGAACGAATTGTGTTAGTTAACCGAGGGACCACTGTATATAGTGCAGTGCAGTGTTGATTTAAAGAAAATAATCCTGAATTACACCTCGTGAACTTAAAATTTTATGGGTGAAATGACGGCATGAAGCATGGGGTAATTTCTCTTCCACCCCCACTTCCTTCTCTTCTCCCTTCTCCTCCACCCCTACTTCTAATTCCCATCATCATCAATCAGGAGCCTTCTACATACACACCTCAAAGTAATTGTACTTTACTGCATTTTTTTTACTTTGTATGTAATTTTCAGTGAACTGGAACCAATTACCCAAAATCCCATTGAAACAGTGGTTTCGGTTAACGAACGACCTTCTGGAACGAATTGTGTTCGTTAACCGAGGGGCCACTCTGTGTGTGTGTGTGCGCGTGTGCGTGCGTGCGTGTAATATGTTTGTTTTATGTTTAATACATAAAATACTTGATGTGACTCACATAGTAATTTGAGATATCTTGATAGCCGGAACGGATAGACCCGCCCGACCCTACGAAGCCAGACTACGACATCCGTGCAGATGTTTGGAGTTTGGGCATCACACTGGTTGAACTTGCAACTGGCCAGTTTCCCTACAAAGACTGTCGTAATGACTTTGAGGTAAGTTTTATGTACAGTAGAGTAGCATTGTTTTCTTGTTACTAATTTCAAATACCTGTATTGCAAAAGTTCTTTGAATATATTTATGTTCATGAGCCATTTGTAACTGACCTATCATTATCCAACACACTGGGACCCCATGACCGTGTCTGCCCCGCTGGGAGTGTGATAATCAGTGGTAATTTTTTTTTTCATGGTAAACAATGCAGTTGCTGTAAAAGCTTCTACTTCTGCATATTCACCTGGAGCTTCTTATCAGTATCCAGTGATGTAGTGGTTAACTCTTAAGTGGTCGGTGAATCATCAGTTAACAAATCCATTCATTTCACGTTGCACCTATTCATCAGTCTGGGTTCATCAGGCAGTATAGTAGTGCTTACTTCTGCAGTACTTAGTCCAGAAGACAATGCCTCTACTTACTTCTCATAGCCAACTGGGTTGTCTTCTCTTCATATGATTCTTGATTATCATATTTACTTAAGTGTAGTTTGAGTTTTTATGATAAAAGTTTTATGCAAAAAGTAGGGGATCAAACTATATTCACATAGTATAGGTACTCCTGAGCATGGTGATTTTGAATATGAGGTCCACGATTTGACTGCTGGGTAATTAGTGGTCGTAATTACACTTGGAAAATTTAATGACTTTTTCAATGTTAATTTATCTCCAATTATGTGTTTCATAAGTGCGATTTTGGTGTTAATGTTTTATTCTGTAAGTACTTAATTAGTTAAACCCCTTAAATTTTAATTCTGAGAGAAAAGTATATTTTGGTCGAAAAATTGCTAAGGTGTAAGACTTGCATTTTCGACAGTTGTGGCCCCAAATTAGATTTTGTTGAAAATCACATTACAGTAAGCTCTCGCCAATAACGACTTCCACAATAATGTTTTCGACAATAATGGTAAGTTACAACAGGTACCCATTTTCGATAATAACGTCTGGATTCTCTTGAATAGCGGAGATTTTGCGGGAAGCGTCCGTGTGCATCAATGATAGCGTTTGTTTGCCACCATGTTGATGAAGTAGTTGTCCGCTCCGCCTCACGCTCACTCTCGCACACGCTCCGTGGAATACAGCGCTGCGCCCACGTGTGAGATTTTCGCCTCTATAACCAGTGGTTGCTAGGGTCGGTGATCAACAATGGCCGCATTTTTGCCTGTGGGGGTTAGGGGAGGTGGTAGAGGGAGTGATTTGCCGCCTGAACGCCCGGGAACTTTTAAAATGAATGAGAAAAAAGACCCCAAAGCTAAGAGACAAAGCCACAAGAAGTGTGCCTACTCGGTCAAGGATAAAGAGCAGATTGTTGAGCTCATTGAAAGTGGTGCACGGAACATTGATATTGTGAGGAAATTGAACTGTCCTGAGTCTACAGTGCGAAATATTAAGAGGAACTTAGAGGAGACCAAGAAGAGTATTGCGCTGGTTAAGAAATATTTCGGTAGTGATGGAAATGCGAGGCGAGCTATGAATGATAAAAGTGATAGAAACAGGTTTTTAGTGATAACATAGCATTTTCTTGTGAAATGGTTAGCTTGTAGAATGAAAGACAGTTCAAGTCTTAGCGGCCCTCAGACTACAGAACAATCATCACACCAAGCACCTCAAAAACTCCCCCAAGCTAAGTGTTATATTACTCAAACTCTTTATTTTGATGATTGAATAACAATTCTTTTTATTTCAGCGAACAAAAAGTGTTAGGAGGGCTTCTAAGGGGAAAAATTGGGTGAAATTCTTGGGGAGGCAGCACCAATAAACCCTTTTTACATGTATTTTAATGTTACACAAATAACGTTTTCGCTAATAACGGAGTTTTTCAGGCACCTATTAAACGTTATTGGCGAGAGCCTACTATAATATTATTGAGGGGATAAAAATTCATAGATTCCCTTGGGTCGTTTACGGTGAATGATAGCTACCATATACAGACATGCAGTATGCTAACCTTATCTGAAGCTTCTTTAGCCTGGGCTTGACTACCTACATTTGTTCTTTTTGATGCTACGTGAAGAGCAGAACCTCATTCACTATATACTGTAAGCTACTTTAACCCATGGGCTTCAGTCATGAATATCTCCATGATAAACAATAGTTGATGGCTGGCTCAGATCACAGATATATCCGTTATGAAGTGTTACCATTATCTCATGGCAGTACATTAAATAAAAATGTTATTTTATGTTATTTTTTTTTGCTGTTACATGTACACACAATCATTCATACAGAATGAGCAAAAAACAAATAATAAGGTCAAAAACATAAAGTAAATAAATATTTCTTCATGCAAGCTGTGACCTATGTTATAGTTATTTTAACACATAATTTTGGGTAGATATACACAATTTTCTTCATTTTATTTTACTCTGTTGCGTGCACACACAGACGTTCATACAAAATGTGAAAAAAAATATCATAAAGTCAAAAACATAAAGGGAATAATATTTCTTATGTGAACGGTAGTTAGCACACACAGCAGGGGAGCGGGAATGGAAAGGGGGAGGGGAGCGGTGTGGGGGATCTCTGAGCTGTTCTCTGTCTTGTGTCCCATGTGGAGTGAAAATACAGCGATAGCTCTGTCAGCCAGAATCCTTCTTAACCAGAACTGTCTGATAGCTGGAATTGAAATTTTCTCGGAAGATCGTTCCCAAAGTCGTAATTTTATGGAAAATTCTGGCGTTGGGAAAAGTTTTCTGAGGGGCACTTTTAAAAAAAGGTAGTGACTTTTGTGAGACGAGGCACTGACATCAGCAGCTTTGTGTTTCTGTGAGATCAGATGCTTAGCAATATCATTATCTCCACCATGTGCAATGCTAAACTCTCTCTTACATTTCATACACTGTACATCACTTTCTGTCTTCGTTTTTTTAAGAAAGGGGCATTTTGACTGCAGGGAGGAATTAAAAGTACACTTTCGCATGGGCATTTTCCCAACCAAATTGAAGAAAAACTGTCCCAACACAAAAGTAATTTTCCTAATTTTCTGTGCATGGTGACATGTGTATGCTCCAAGGCATGGCCACACTGAGGATTCAGTGAGCAGCATAGCTTACAGTTGCAGTTTTTCGCCTGTTTTGTTAAATTTTCTTCTCACGTTAGTGTACATTTTCAATGTTTGTCCGTTATATATCAAGAATTACAACGCAATATATGATGTACAAAAACCACTGTGACATTGCATTGCACTTTTTATATCGGTAAAGACCTTTATAAATGGCAACAAACAGAATTTTACACATGTGAACGAAAAATATTAAATGTATCACGTAACATATGACATCCATGCATGCAACCAAAACGTTTCAAATTTCTTGTGGCAATTTATTCTTTCGTTAATGAAGCGGGACATTTCGGGAAAAATTCTGAAAATGCGGATCATTATCGGGACGCTGTCAGAATGTGGGATGCTTGTTGAAAAATCGGGACTGTCCCACTAAAATTGGGATGTCTGGTCACCTTATTTGGTATAAAGTGACTTAAATGTCCTCCCTCCTCCCATGGGTAAAATGCAAAAATGGGTGGAAGTGAGCATTATCTCCATAAGGACCAATATTAATGGACAAATGTGAAAGGGGAAAGCAGGTATTGGTTGAGAATTTCAAAACTCCCAGCCTAGTGACTCAATGGCTTGGTAGAGACAACCATTGTACAAAAATTGTGTTGTTTACAAGAATGATGCTCTCTGTCACTGATTATTACACCCATGGCAAGGATTTGTTATGGAAATTCAGCCAGCTAGAGAATTATGGATCACATAACTCAGCCATAGTATGGGATTTCAAGATATGCTCCTCCTTTTTGAGTGGAGCATTATGCTTCTAAAAAAAAAATCTTAGTTCTCCCTCCCTGACTTTTCTAGCCTTAAGTTTTCCTTCTTCATTATTTCCTGCAATCCTGTCTTTATATTTTCATTGTTCACTACATTAATGTTAGTATTTTACTGTTGAAACAATCATAAATGGTGTGTTTCTTAACCACAGGTGCTGACCAAGGTTCTTCAGGATGATCCACCCTCACTTCCAAAAGATGGTACCTTCAGCCCAGAATTTTGTGAATTTGTAAATGATTGGTAAGTTAATATTCCATAATTGTTTTCAATGCAGATTTCCCCACAGTTACTGTATTTTATTTGTTAGAGCCCAGATTTCTCAATACCTTGCATGGTATAATCAAAACTTTTTTGTTTTCTATGCAGTACTGACTTTTTATTACTAAACTTTTTGGTGGATTAGGGGAAGTACATATGAGAGTGTGCCATCTGAAGGATAATGTATCAGACAAAGCTGCCATAGTACACCAGAGATAAGAAAGATGAAAATGTTTAATTTAGTTGTGTAATAAGAGGTGGATTAGTGACCTACAATTTACTGAAGAGTTATAAGTTGTACAGTAGGTAGATGGAAGAGGTGAGAGGGTAGAGAATTTCATAAACAAAAGTGCAGGTAATAAAGTGGGTCATTCATGATACAGTTTGGCTAAATGGAACAAGCAAGGAGTAGGGGTTGCATGATGAACGACCTGTGTTATGCCTGACCATGGAAACAACTGTTTAAAAGAGAAAGTAGCGAAATAGTGTCTGGCATGAAGGCATATTGTCTGGCATAAGAACATAAGAAAATAAGGAGTCTGCAATAGGCCGGCTGGCCTGTGCATGGCAGCTCCTGTCAAGAGTTACTACCACTCTCTATCATCCATGAATCTATCTAGCCTCCCTTTAAAACTTTCCAGCATTCCAGCATTTACTACAAAGTTGCTAAGCTTGTTCCACTCGTCCACCACCCTATTTGTGTACCAGTTCCATCCTATCTCCCTCCTAAACCTAAACCCGTTGCTACGAGTCCTATCCTGCTCGGATATTATAAGAACTTTATCTATGTCTCCTCTATTGATTCCTTTCACCCACTTAAATACTTCTATCATATCTCCCCGCACTCTTTGTCTTTCTTGGGAATGCAAGTTTAGTTTCTTTAATCTATCTTGATATGGAAGGTTTCTAAGTCCCGGAATCATTTTCGTCATTCTTCGCTGCACCGACTCCAGTGAATTGCTATCCATTCTATAATAAGGGCACCAAAACTGAAAAGCATAATCGAGGTGCGGCCTGACTAGCGCAAGATATAGTTGCAATAAGACCTCTGCACTCTTATTACTTACACTTCTAGATATAAAACCTAATACCTGTTCTTTGTTTGCCTTATTTCGAACATTAACGCACTGTTTTCTAGGCCGTAGGTCCGGGCTTACAAGTACCCCTAAGTCTCTTTCACAAGTCGACTTCTCTAGGTTGATGTTGTAAAGGCTGTATACATTGACAGTATTTGTTCTTCCAATATTAAGTACGCTGCACTTGCTGGTGTTGAATTTCATTTGCCATTTTTTGGCCACTCCTACAGTTTATTTAAACCCTCCTGTAGTGCATTTGCATCCTGCCCTGAATTAATCTGCCTCCTTATTTTGGTGTCATCCGCAAACTTGCTTATGTCACTGCTGATCCCAGTATATAGGTCGTTTATGTAGATTATGAACAAGAGTGGGCCCCTGGGGAACCCCACTGGTTACACAGCCCCACTCAGATTTAACACCATCTACGCTGACCCTCTGTGTTCTATCGGTGAATCATGATTTTATCCAATTTAAAACTTTCCCCTTGATACCATGAGCCTTAACTTTTCTCAGAAGCCTCTGATGGGGTACTCTGTCAAACGTTTTGCTAAAGTCTAAGTAAATAACATCGTAATTTTCGTCATTACCTACTACCTCGAAGACTTTCCTAAAAAAGTCAGCAGATTTGTTAGACAAGATATTCCCATGTTGAGAGTCGTAGATTAATTTGCTTTTCTCTAAATGTGATCGGATGCTATTTGCTATAATTGATTCAAGAAATTTCCCCACTACTGACGTCAAACTAATCGGCCGGTAATTTGATGCTGATGCTCTGTCTCCCTTATTGAATATGGGTATTACAAGTCTGGCACAACCTCTGTGTCTAATGATTTTGTAAAAAAATTTATGAGGGGTCCGCTAATCTGTTCCGTACACTCTTTCAGAACTTGAGGGAAAATTTCATCTGGCCCTGGGGATTTTGTCTTCTTTAATTTATTTATCTTTTTAAGAACATCGTCTTTTCTGATAGTGATATTCTATAATTTCTCTTCTTCATTTCCCCTATATATCAGTTCCCTCACTGGAAATTCCTCGTGAATTTCTTCTGTGAAAACTGATAAGAAGTAGCTGTTTAATGCTTTGCTTATTTTCTCACTGTCATCGATCACTTCTCCTCTCTCTGACTTTAAAGGCCCCACTTTGTCCTTGACCTTTGTCTTATATACCTGGAAAAATCCCTTGGGATTCGCCTTAGATTCTCTTGGTATCCTGATTTTGTAGTCCCTCTTTGCCTTCCTTACATTTTTCTTAACATTCCTAGATACAGTAGTTCATTATACATATTTCTGAGCTGTTCCTTCCCTCCCTTTAATTTCTTATAAGTGTATATTACAATGTTGCCAACAAGTATCTCGAGTAATGATTTTTTTGTCACCATCACATTCAACAGGTCGTTATCCAGAAACTCCGAGAGATTATCACGTTCATATGAACTTTCAATGACAGAACAATCACTTAGTCCAAAACCTCTTCTATCAAAGTTTGAAGTTTTGGGCTGGAAGTCACTGGCAATCCATTCCCAATGCTCCAGAATGCCCAAAAAATGTAGCCTTCCTTTCCCTCTGCTAGTATTTGGCTCAGTTTCGTTACTGCTCTATTCATCTTCCTCTCTTTATATTGGCTCTCCAACATCACTGTCACTCCCCTCTATGTCTGGGACAGAATTGTCACTATTTATTGAATAAATAAGCTCGATATAAAAGTCTGGGTTGGTGATGGCATCTCTTTCCACTGCCTGCTTGGTCAAGATAGAGTGTTGTACATCAACCTTCCTCTTCACCATTGCAATGGTAACTGAGAGTTCTTTCATGGTGTAAAATATGAACTCAGCCGATTGAAACACTAGATAGGTTGCAGTACAGTACTTTACAGTCACAGACCACTCTTAAACTGCTCTGGGACATATCTGTTCCAGCTGTACAGGTATTGTGCTGTAGGAAGTGTTTAGGGACATATACTTTATACCCCTTCTGTAATGAAAAGGTTAAGAGATGATCAGATCTGAGCTGTGGGTTGATAGAGGGAAACGTAATTACTTTATACAGTACAGGCATTTATCAATTTACAAAGGGTTCAGTTATTGAAAATCCTTTTGTAAATCATATCACATACAATATGTTGTTTTTAGTTTAATTGTCTCTATAAACTGACCAAGGTCCAATATGGGAAGCCCTGAGATGTCTTTGCCAGAACCTCAGCATCTTCTGGTGCTGTATTTTTTTTTTTTTCAAATTTGAGTTTATCTTGAATAAATCGAAACATGGGACGCTTTATTTTTATTTTTGTGTGTGTAAATCTGTCTGTGTTCTTAATACCCAACTTCCCTCTCAGGTCTGAATAGGGCTTCTTATCTTTCAGTGTCATGTTACACATCCAACTTGCTCAAGCCTGTGAATGCCAATTGCATACATCTTTTTTTTCATGTGAAGAGAGGTACTCTTGCCATTAATAAAGGCAACATCTCCTTAAACTTCCTTCAGTCATTTCTGACTCTTGCACAGAAGCTAGCTTCAGCAACCCCTCCAGGACTAATGGTGTCACTCAGGTAGCAGAACTCATTAACACAGTCCTGTGATATATCTCCAATGTTGAGATTCTCCAGCCTTGCTAAAGCCACATGATAACCTGCACATACTGTACACCACACTTACTGTAAATTCAGCATTATCCTGTAGTCTGCCATTTATGCCACTGCACCTCATGTGTACTCAACTTCCTCACTCACTGCACATTATTGAGTTACTGCCAAGACCTATTTTTTAGACAGCACCACCACAGGTCCTTCACCCACAGCACTTATCATTTCTTTTGTTTTCACCACATTCTTTCTCATATCCTTTTGACTCGAATCTTTCTCATATCCTTTTGACTCGATTCCATTCTTCCATTTCTTCAATTTCTCCAATATATCTTCAGTATTATCTGCTATCAGCTCTAAAGTCATCACCATGCAACTCTCAGGGTAAACCAGTCTGTGATAGTGCCTCTAGCACCATGATAACCAGATTTGTTTTTTATAATTGCTTACAGGTATTGTAGTAATTAGCAAAGATTAACAAACTACATGAAAAGGCAATG